CAAAAATAAAAATAAGACATGTTCAGATTTTGTGGCTCAGTTAAAGCTTTTTCACAGTTTTTTCTCCTTTTACTACATACTAAAGATAAAGATTTATTCTCCCATTCTCCCACTCATTTAGACACGATCTTAAGTGCAACTTTGAAGCTTTTTTTAATCCTTATTATTATTATCATTATTATTATTCTTTTGTGGAAGTTGGGATTCCTGTGACATCCCAGCATAAGACATAAGCTAATCCTATGAGAATGTACTGTATGTTTGTAACGTGACAATCTGTTAAGCGCTCTGTCATTACGTTTGATATGGCTTTTTGTAATACTATAGTGGCTTGAATGGCTTTTTTTGCCCTGTATGTGTTCAGAGGAAAATAAAACTAACCAGGTTTCCTGTATTCTTAGTGCTCCATAACTACATCACAGGTTTTCCTCTGTTAAGCACAAAGTCTCTGCTTTCACTGCTTCAAACTACAGGACATCATCTAGAGACTTGTAACTTACTTGGGTGATGTTGGGTTTATAACCCTTGAAGTATCTTTGGACTCTTTAAGTCAGATGAACATTGTTCATTAAAATATTTTTGTCTGCATTTTGTGTTCTTCAAGGCAATTTTCTTTCTTTTTATCAATGTTAAAGTTGCATAAAACTGCAAACAGACGCCAGAGGCAAACCATTAACCATTTACTCAGCTCTAAGTAAGTTAGCAGAGAAGGCCTTGACGTCTCAGGTGTACCCACAGGTTAAAAGACACCCTATTCTCATTTGACTTGCTGCCTCCTTTCTGACAGTGAAACACGGGCTGTGTTTAAAGTTTCAAGGACTGGAAATATCCTCTCTTTTGAAAGGGCCCAAACATTTACGTCAGCAGCTCTGGATTGTATGCAATGCCGGGGCTGGGTTTAGGGTGTCAGTTTTTATGAGAAGGCCCAACAGTGTACATTGCCTCACCAAACATTTAGACAGAGCTCTGATTTGAAAGGTAGACTTTCACCTTTTATTCAGGTGCTCAAAATCATTCTAAAGTCACTTGTAGGTCATACACAAAGGTGGTAGTCACACAAATCCTGTATTCTATTTTTCCATTTGTCTTACTGTGTGGCAGGGGAGAAAGGCAGCGGCATGTCTGTGATACTATATAATTTGGCTTCATTCAGATATGGACACTCTGCAGTTCTGTGTGATTCTGCTTTGCACACTGTGCACTGCTGCATTTCTCAGTTGGTAGTGATAGGGATTAACCACTGGGTGGCGACATCTCTCTGCTTATTGACACAAAACTAACTGGAGGAAGCAGATGAGTGATTATTAAAAGTTGAGATTCTGAAAGGAAACTACAAATTGTTTTATAGATGAAAGAAATAAAGACAAAATATTTCCAGGTTTACATTTTACTTTGACATCGGCAGCATACAGAGAAGTCGTCATAAGGCCACGGATTAGAGTCTAAATGTCAAGAATGGGAATACAGCTTTAACCTCTTCATTAGCTTTAAGTTAATTTCTGACTTAAAACATGGATTTAAACCATCGTGAGTTTGTGTATGTCTGATACCAACCTCATTGATGTATCTTGTTTTTGCACTTTATTTATTTTTTATTCAAATAGGTATGTGTCTTTAGTTTTTTAATATAGGTTTCATTGCAAATCATAAAATGTCCCTTCTTTAGAAAGAAGAGTCACCTTCAGATCATTGCATGTTATATGTTAAACTTCTCCATATGTTCATATGTAGTTCATACCACACCCAAGAGGTAAGATGCTGGGCCACAATGTGTTTCAAGAACAGGTCTAATGCACTGTGGTATTGATTCTGCCAGACTTCCATTTTTCCAGTTTTCTATTTTTCCATTTTCTTAACTGCTTATCCAAGTAAGATGTGGACAGTTTCCACACTTTGTTTTTTGCCAGTGATAATAATGATGGTAGAGCATGCTGACTAATGTGTCAGTCCATAATTGTGACTCTAAAGGCCATTGCGCCATTTTCTTCATACTTATCAAACTATATGTTGAAACGTCTTATCATTCAGATTAAAAGAAAATGATTCCAGAAGCGATAACTCCCTTAATAACAGAAATGTATCATCATAGTATAAAGACTTTCAATCAAAAGATTTCTTTTAACTGATTTGCAGTGAGGATTTCTTCAAAGGCAGGGGAGGGAAATTCATTTTCCCAAGGAGCCACATGGAAAACTTGGACTGTTGTGGAGGGCCACACCACTAAGCTTATAAATAATTTATATTGAGCAATTCAGCTTATTGGTGCGGCCCTCCAAAACAGACCCAGTTTCTCATGTGACCCCTTGGGAAGAGTAATTGCCCATCCCTGTTCTAAGGGGACAAGTGGACCCAAATCAAGTTAGTAGGGATCAAGGGGGTTTGTGTTTTTTCTTTCATTTGTCACATATCAGTATGTACAGTGAACATATTCCCTACTTTTGATTTTATGTGGCGTATAAAACATTTCTGCTAGCATTAACTGTACGGTGTGGCGTCAAACAGGATTAGAGAGCATGAGAGAGATTATGCGGTGCCACGCTAAGCTTTTTACAACCATGCTTCGGGTCAGAGATGGATGACCTCCTGGACAAACAATGGGCTGTTGACTGGACCAGAAATCTCCCAGCTTTCATGGTTGGTATGGCAACTGATCTCTGTCAATATGGAAGCGACAGTCATATCTCAGACAAGACTGAACAGAAGCAAGAGAGGATGTGCCTCCGAGCTGCGAAACCTGAGAAAGCTGGTTCCAGGCGCTTTGTGAACGTCTGCCCCGTGTGCTCCAATGTGAACTAATGAATAAATGACTGGGTGCCCAAGTTTCATGGATGAATCATTTAAGAACCATCTGGGGTTAAAGTGTGCACACCACCTCCTTCTACTGTTGGGTTTAAAAAGACAGATGTCCTGTATGTGTGCTACAGCTATCAAACACGCCAATCTATTTTCTGAGCTGCATGAAACACATGAAACCTCCGCAGCAAGGCCTACTTTCATTTGGAAATAATTCAATACACTTTCAATTTGATGCAATTCACTTTACCTAAATTGAATTCAGGTCAGTTTTTTTTTATATAACAGTAATTCAGAACAACAGTTATCTCGAGGCAGTTAGAAATTGTGGTCGCTGGCCTTAACTTTGAAGAAAATACATGCTTTAATAATAAACACTCAGCAGGCTGGACGGGCCAGGACAGAAATGAGCCAGAAATACCTGAAAAAGTCCCAGGGAAAGAAAGGATAGAGAGGACAAGGACCAACGAGAGAGGACACAAAGAAAACTACATGTAATAGTAATGTGGAAATAGCATATGAGGCCTGAGTTATACCAGCATACCTAAGGGATCATCCAGGGTCATCTGAGCCGACCTAAACTATAATGTTTACCAAATAACACAGCTCTAAGCCTAATCAGAGGTGCCTCATAGCTGAAGGCTCCACCTCTTCTTATACTGTCAATACAGAGCATGTTGCTCTCCAGACAGAAAAAATGATACAATTTATATTGCTTGAACTCTTGATGGGCACAATGGCGTAGCAGATGGTTGCACAAAATGTGCAGCATACATTAAAACACACAAATAATATAACATTAATATAATACTGAACTAGTAACACTCGGATCAGCTGCCTGTTATTTTTCACAAGACTCCAAAAGCTCAACACACACTGCAGTGTTGTTAAACCAACCCAACAGGCCCTGCAGGACATGGGTGGGAAGAAGTGATGTGTGTCACTACTGTTAGCACTTCCAAATGAAGGGTGGGTCTGCGTTGGGGGTTTAGGAACACTGTTAAGAGGACACACTGAAAAGGCAAACATTAACTTGTAATCTGGTTGGAAAGGAAGTGAAATGGAGTAGTTATGTCTGCTTGTTTGGATACTATTATAAAAACCATTAAGGTTATGAATGTAAGCACATGTTCTTAAAAAAACAAGCCCTGTTTCTTGAGTAGGTTTAGCCTAAACAAAAGTAATTTTACTACCACAAGAGTAATGTATACGCTGTGCAAGCAAGTGCACTCCTTTTGAACAGGACAACCTTTCATCTCTCGTTGAATGGCCATTTACATTGTTAATGAATCAGCTTCTCCAGAGGGGAATTAAACACCTATGTAAACTTTTGGTTTGCAGGAGGATAATGGGTGTAGAAGATGACATTCTAGTGTAAAAATGTGATCTAGTAAGTGAAAGTATGATATGATGACATGATCAGAGGACAACTGGCCAAAGTGAAATGAATGAACCTCTCAAGCTCGATTACATTCTGAAAATAGCAGCAGCTTATTTTAACGAGATTGCTATGCGGGACTATGCTGTGGATAGGGATTGTAGCAGATCAATAAAATCTCCCTACTATCTATCTATCTATTGCTACCAAAGTACGCTGCTTTTCAGGGCCAATATAAAACTACAAACATTTGCTTAGCCAAATAATCTCATCTGCATTTGAAAAAGGTGGTTGCAAATACTGGCTTTTTACTCTAAAAGCCTAAAAGTCACTGAAATTATTAAAATGCTTTTTTTTTACTCTTCCATTGTGGTTTAGACAGAAAAAAATATACAGATAATTTTCCTTATATAAAATACGTTTCCCTACAATTTCAAGACATCCTTATTTGGGACTAGAGCGTCTTGGGTGTATCTGCCATTCATCGAGAAGGCGTATGATGGGTGGTTCCTCTTAGCAATTAGCCAATCAGCTAATAGAGCTAGGGTTGTTTAGGCGGGGCTACGGAGGGAAATCCTGACACACACTGGCTAGCTGTTGGAGCTGGGGGCAGGGCTTGTAGACGGAAGTGTCTCCCGACTGGTCCAGCTGTCATCTAGAAGAGAGTGGAGACCATTTACACCGGCTGCATAGGAAATGCAGAAAAAGGAAAAAACGCTAAAATATGGCAACATCTAAACGATAAGGTCATGACGCCGAACTGAAGGTAGCTATGCCCGACATGTCGACGTTTACACACGTCTGTCGTTACGTTGGAGTAGGTGTCGAAATTGCGTCACGGTATTTCGGGATGTACAAATGATGACAAGGATTGGTAGGCTGTGTGACATTGAACATACAGGACACGAAACAGACGAGGTCGTTTAAAGAGCCACACACCGGTTCCAACATGTCACGTCGCGAAAAACTCTGAGGTTTTTGACGCTGACGGAAATTCGAGGAGACGTTGCAGCGACTGAACTGGTTTATTGCTTTCTGGCTGCTGTGCCAGTATGCTACAACGTCTCTGCGGTTATCGGCTATTATCCTAGCCTAGCGACTCGGTGAAGGGAACTACCCTAGATTCAGAACAGACTGGAGACGTCATCAATATTTTCCTGTATTTAAGTGGTTGCTTATGGGGAGGTCATTGCTTGGAAAAGGGAGATTATTCGGTAGGTGTTCGTGGTGTTGGTCACCGTGACTCTTGAGCGTTCGTGGTTAGCCTGCAATGCATAAACGTACTTTAAAAGTGACTGCATGATTAATGGGGCACATGGAAGGTGGCGGAGCAGCTGTTAGCTTGCTGCTAGCTGCGTAACGACCTTTTGGAGACGTCAGCTTCACAAGCTTAGACTGTTAGCTGCCTGCGCTTGTTTTTCCGTGGTTGCCTTCCTGCCTTAGTGTTATATTTCATCGAAGGCCTCCCATAGCCAAGCGAGTCAATGATTTAATCTCATTGATTGCATCACAAGACCAGGCAGGGTGCAGCCCAAGCACATCTACTGCGTTTGCAAGGCTGTGTGTGTTTTTTTTTTCTTATTTTCTAGGTGCCAACTCTAACAATCTTTTGAAATTTTGTCATACATTTTCTACCACATTTTAGGATAAAGAAGACGGAGTAAGTCAAAAGTGAGCTTAAGATTTACTGGGTGTCCTAAATGGGGGACTACGGGTTTGGAGTTCTGGTGAAGAACGGCAGTGGCAACAAATCTACTTTCCCTGTAAGGATCCCTCCTCACCTGCAACCCCAGCACTCTCACCACCCTTCCAACCCCCCCAGCCCCCCGTCCTTTGTAAACAACACCTGCTCCACCAATGGGGGAAGTGCTTGGCTGTTCCCTGCTGTAACCCCGCACACTAACATGCAAGATGAGATTCTGGAGTCAGAAAAGTCCAAGGCCTTGGACCTCCAGGATATGCAGGAGAAATCTCAGGTCCAGGCCCAGCCTCAGCCCCTGTCTCCAGGCCAGCAGGAGGCCGGCGGAGGCTTAGGAGAGCTTGAGGGAGCTCTACCTGACGACGGCTCCCTGGAGAAGGGTACTTTGGAGAGCAGTGCTGGCAAGGAGAAGCTGAGGATGGAGTCTCCGGTGCTAAGTGGCTTTGACTACCAGGACACCCTGGGAATGGGTACAAGCTGTGCACAATCCACTTCTTCCTCATCTTCTCTGACCAGCTTCAACAACTGGTCTCCTGCTGTCCCATCTACCCAGTCTCCTGTGGTTGGGGAAGACGTTGGAGGTTTCTTTGGTCCCGCTGGCTCCAATGCTAATGGACCACATTTGCTGTTCCACAACTTCTCCCACCATGCTGGCCCTGGCTTTGGAGCAGGAGGTAGTTTCTCCCCACAGATTGGACCAGTCTCCCAGCATCACCCTCCCACACCTCACCCTCAGCACTACCATCCCCAGGGACAAGGGGTTCCACAGCAGCACAGGCGCTCCCCAGCTAGCCCTCATCAACCCCAGCCTTCCTTCCCTCCACATCCCCATCGCACTGGACCATTTACACAGCTGCCCCACCTTGCTCCTACCCAGAACAAACCTTCCTCCCCTTGGGGAAGCTACCAGAGCCCCTCCACTCCCACATCCACCTCGTGGAGCCCAGGTGGGTATGGTGGCTGGGGAGGTACACAGGGGATTCGGGATTACCGACGGGGTGTTGGCGGCGGGATGTCAGGCCTGAACTCTATTTCGCCACTGAAGAAGTCCTTCCCTAACAATCAGGTAGATGGGGCTGTCATGGTTAATCTCATACTGTGTATATTCATAGTAGATATTTGCATTTGCTGATATAAAAGAGACTTGTCATACAATTATTAACATTTTCTCCAGGTTCCTTTGCAAAAGTTCCCCAGAAATAGCTCTGGCATCAACCACAAGGGCTGGGTGGAGGACAGCATGAGCCGCAATGACAGTGTTTATCCTTTCCAGGTAGGCATACAGGCTAAAATAAAACACAGGCTGTTGTTAAGGGAGTTACTCAATATCTAAATTAAGTAAGTTCAGTAGGTATTGTGAGAAATGATGAACAGATATGGACAGTGATTGTATATGTGCTTTGTGTATTTTTAACAGACTAATTAAGTATGTAATCCTGTCATACTTGCTCAACTGTATCAAATGTAACAAATGAACCATTGAGCAAAACGGGAGACGTGACAGGCAAGCCAGCTAAACGGATGACTTCAGACTTATTGTGTACTAGAGATCTTATCTAGATCATTTGGTTAAAAGAGAGCTGTCTCATCATCTGGTTGATTACATGGGTTTCCTACTGTCCTGATTCGAGATGTCTTACGCTCTGCTGCAGCTTTAAACACACTCGATATGCTTTTATATAAAGTGACACACTTTTACTTATGTAGTCTTTATCACCAGTTGTGTGTTGCTCACAGATTTTCTTTGATTTTAGAATTTTTAAAAATCCAATTCTCCTCAGTTTTGGTTAGAATTTGTATTGATTGCAATGTGGTAAAACCGAAAGTAGCTTTTTGTTTTGTTTTTTTTTCTCTCTCACCGGCTCATTTTGTGCAGTGTATCTTCCTATCAGATGCTATCTGATTCAGTGGAAAGATGTCACATTACAAGCGAATGCAGATGACTTTGTAACATACTTTGTCTCCATTTTCTGTTTAGTGCTCTGTGCTGGATGTCACCACAGGGAAAAATGAATTTTTATTTCTCCTTTTAATACTTATTAGCATCATGGGTATCTCACAGCTTATACTGCTTTAGATGGTGATTTTGGGAAGCGAGGAAGCTAATTGTTGTTTTCCCCTCCTTTCAGCAGGAGAGAACACGGTCCTTTGATGGTTTCAGTATGCAATCTCTGGAGAACTCTCTGATTGACATTATGAGGGCTGAGCAGGATTCCTTAAAAGGTTGGTTCCCACACTAACAGTGAGACCCAGCTAGATTTTCTCACTGCTGGCTGTAAATAAATGTATTCAGAAATCTGTGTTTATTCGACACATAGAATTTTTTCCATATCCCCTGCAGGACTTGAGTAGCAAAATGCATATGTAATTGCATATGTTATGTTTGAATGTTTCTCTTGCAGCATTGTGCTTTGATGTTAATGGCACTACCCACAAATATTATTCAGCTTTATTAAATTTGTGCTTACTGCAGGCAAACTGTTGCATTAGTAGATTTGGATATTATTGACCTTTCCAATATGGATGCCTATATAATTTTCAATTCTTGGGTTGCAGTCAGACAGTCAAAACCCCCCAAAAAGTTAATGTAGCTTTCCCTGAACACTTTCCAACAACCTTAATGGATAACATCAGGTCAAGGCAGGATGTGAAGGAAAATTCTTAAGGACAACCACGGTGCCAAGATAATCAGAGTGCACTTTAGACTAGCTGTGCAATTGTGCAACCTTCATGTTGTCAATGTGGTTTTTCTATCATGAAGCTAAAATCTTCCTAAAAAAAGGTGGCCTACAAAAACCCATATCTGAAGATGCTTCACCTTATGTGACACCGTGTCATTTCGTGCAGGTTGTCCACCCTATAAAAACCCAGTTTAAATAATTTGGGGTCAAAGGTGGAACCACTGCTTGCTGTGGCTGTGGGTGGAGCTGCTGCAAGAAATTTAACACTGATTTACAGGTGTTGCTCATGATTTTTCTATCCACTAAAACTACCCCAGCTCGTGCTTTATAGAATTGGATGCTGTAGCCTGCCCAAAAGTTGGCTGGATCTTAAAAAGCAGCAGAACTGACTCAACACCAAAGCCTACTCGCCGGTCATACCGATCGGGTGTTTTTATGAATCGTCGGAGCATTATCTCTTTCTTTTGTTAAAGATTGTTTCATGATTTATTTAGATTCATTCTTTTTTTCTTTTTTTTTTTTTTGGGGGGGGGGGGGTTAAACTCTAGGAGCAGCTCCTTTCCTTAAAGTTGTGAAAATCCCAACCAGTAAAAGACTATTTGACTACAACCTTTCAACACCAAAAGAATTCCATGGCTCCCCGGCAGCCATTTTGGTAATTCCCTTGCGCAGTTATTGTGGGCTACGAAGACCGGCTTAGACTAAGTGAATTAGATAACCATAAATGAACACTAGGGCACAAAGTCAAATCTGATTTTTACAAAGCCACATAAATGCCTTGGTGGTTTCCCCCAAACATGCATTAAAATCTAACCACGTACACTGTGAATGAGGCCAACGCAGTCTTCAGTCTCTCAGTGCAGAACATTACCTATCTTCTATTAAGTTATGAAACCAATCATGTGCAGCATTTTTCCACTGGCATTTGTTTGATCTCGACGCAGACTCCCTTATTAATAAAACATCTACCTTTTGTTACCATCAGTCAGAAGGGAGCCATTTTGCATCACAGCCAGTTCTGTTAATTCTAATTTGAGAGCGTGGATGCGCAAACCTTCTTTTTTTTTTTTTTTTTTTTTTTTTTTTTTTTTACCTGGTCTTTGATCTTTTATACAGTCATACATGCCATTTTTAATGAGGATGTTTTCCATCTCTTAATTTTTTCCATCTCTCTCGGCTTCTCGGTAATCAAAATCGTATTCCTGCGGTCATATTCATAGAGGTGAAACAAAGTGGTTTAACACACAGTTTTGGCCCGATTTTAATGTATATTGCACCAAGATACACATTTAGTTTACTTGTACTGACAACGTGAGTTGCATTTGTGGCCTTTTCTAAATTTTTTTTTACTGAATGCTGTCATTTTCCTTTTCCTGTACAAGAACATCCCCTCATCATTTTAGCTATTTAGACATGAGAGAAGGGAATTAACAGAATTCCTACTCCATTTGGGAATCATTTCATCTCTCGGTTTTGTGAAGCCGCTCCTGTGTGTGTGTGTGTGTGTGTGTGTGTGTGTGTGTGTATGTGTGTATGTGTGTCTGTGTGTTTCTGTGTGTGTGTGTTTTTTGTGTCTTTTTGTCATTCAGTAAACTTCAGCTTCTTTCACTAGGGCGGACATTCACCTCTACCATTGAATGATATATAAATGATATGCAATACTTCAGCTGAAGTCAGCATAGCAGACAACAGTGTCCTAAGATAAAAAAAAAAAAAAGTTTCTTAAAATTGGAGTCCAGACCTTAACAACTAATTGTAAATGGTTGATAGAAATTTTCTATATATTTATGTTTATCTTGTGATGTTTTTCTAAAAACAAATTAAGAGTGTCTTGTTTTGTTTTACATGCAGCAAGAAGTTATGGGAGAAGACGAGGTAAAGCTTGTTAATGTCATATGTCTGTCATTTTGATTTCTTTGATGTGATTTAAAGAGCATCAGTTGCCTCTGACATGATTGCTTTGTTTTTGTCTGCTTGATTTTTGTCTGCATCACTGATTATTCTGTCTTCACTGCTTGAGATCCTTTTTTCCTCTTCAGGGAGTTTACACCTTTGCAGGCTATCCATCAAGAACTAGTATTAATAGTAATCCTAATTTTATTGTGGGATAAGAAGTGGCAATTGTCCTTTTTTTTTTTTTTTTTTTTTTTTTTTTTT